CAATCTTCTGGTCCCGGTTTCTTCCCCATCTGATCCCTTGCCCTGATTATGTATGAAAAGGACAGACACAAGACATGAGGACAGATGCCACCTAGTTAAACACTGCCCTGCCTTCAGCCATTACCAGGTCTGTTCTGCAGGGGGGGGGGGGGAAACAGTGGGTTGGGCATGCTGGTGAATGGCTGAAATCTCATCATTCAAGAGACCTGCTCAGGAAGATTATAGTGAGTTCTAGGCCAGCCAGGGCTACCAGTGACATGTTGTCTTAACAACAGACAAACACAAATAGAAATACTTGAAGAATCTCAAAACTCAGATGGAATCCCACCAGGCCTAACAAAGCCTTCTTTGGACTTTCCAATGTACTTTCAGTTTTCCCTAAAGTAAATATTTCAGAATTTTTCATCTGGATCCAAGTTTCAGGCTTAATCAGACAACTTCAGTCTGATTTTACCTATTTTATATGTCTCCACAACTAGATCAGAAGTTTCTGGAAAGCAGGGACTATATGATGTGTTTTTTTTTTTAATTACAGCTAATTTAGCTGAAAGATCTTAATTGGCTTTATTTTGCAATTCCAGAACAAGGCAACATTTCATTCCATAAAATAGAATATGTGTTCCAATGTATTGGTCAGAGGAGGCTAGTTTTATAGATAGAAAGAGGCTGGCAAAAGTCAAAACAAAGAATAAAAAAATTTCAAATTTTTACTAGTAAGTCAGAGAAAAAGGAGACAAAGCAGTAGAAAAATAACTGATCAGTTAACTTCTATATAAGGATCAAAGCATGTAAAATAGCTTCATTATCCTTTGACATCGCGCCTCTTGATTTCCTTCTTTTCTTATGTAGCCCAGGCTGGCCTCAAAATTGGTATATAGCAAAGGATGATCTTAAACTCCTGACTCTTCTGCCTCCACCTCCCATGCCGGGGATTAAGGGCCTGTACCACCATACCCAGCTGCTCCCTTGGTTGTTTTAGAAGGTCATATAATAATGAAGTTGTTAGTGATTTAGCAGAAGTGACCCCATTTTGATTTTCAGTCTGGTCTGTTGGAGCCCAGTGCAGGAACCTAGTCCAAAATGTTTTAATTTAACACATATAACTATGTTCCATGAAAGTTCCCAACACTCACACTGTGCCTGGACTATCCCTGCTCAACATTTCTAGGTCTCCCATTCATCCAGGACACTGCAGGGCAGATAAAGACACACTGATACTGCTCAAGGCCTTTCATACACCAGACACAAACCATCTCCCCAGCCTTTGTTCTCTAGTCTCTACTTCAGGACCGGTGCTCATCTCACAACCCTAGCTGTCCCACCCCAACCTACCACCATCCAAAACAGCTTAAAGCTTGTTCTCCAAGACTTTTCAGGAACTTCCAAGCACCATCTCTTTCCCACACCCTTCTGGTATTCCCACCAAAAGCAATCATTCCTTGTAATTTCCATTCAAATATTTTCATATTTCAACTTTAACTTGTATTACCCAGTACAAAAGAAGTACTCAGTAAATGTTTATAGCATCTTCTATGTAACTGTCCATACTATGAACGTATCTTCTCCACCCATACTGAGCTGTAAGCTTACTGTCTCTGGACCCAGTGGATATTGCCCAGTAGGCAGTCCGTATGTCTATTCTGCACTGAGTAACAGGTATTCAGCAACACTGCTGAAGGAATAAATGTGATGAGTGTTTCAAAGTAGAGGCGCCATCTCAAAGGGTTTCTATATGACATTTCTATCTTATTTAATACAACCGATCAAAGCTCCCAGTTTCATGTAGCTGTGCTTGGACAATAAGTCACAAAATTCATGTATGAAAAAGGCAAGTGTGCAACAGTGAGGAGATGCGCTGACTCCACACACTCAGACCCTGCTAGCTCTCTTCTGTTTTATTTTGCTTGTTTTTGAGACAAGGTCTTGATGCATAGCTCTGGCTGGCTTTGAACTTGTCATGTTTCAAGCTCATGATCCTCCTGAGGACTGGAGAGAAGCCAGTTCTCATTCTTCAGCTTTTGTTTCTGCCTCTCTTTACATGTGACCTTTTTTCTTCCCTATTTGTGGGGCTTCTTCCACATGGTAGAGTACAGGGCTCTTGACACTTCCAGAGCCTCGCAACTCACCGTGTTCACTGATCAAACTCACCCTGTTTACTCTCTCTTTGATCTGAATGTTCAAAAATCTCAACGAATGGGGACAACAAGATGGCTCAGAGGATGAAGGCACTTGCCACCAAGCCTGACACCTGAATTCAATCCCCAGACCCACCTGATAGAGAGAACCAATGCCTACAAGTTGGGGGGACCACCTCCCAGTGCTGGGGGTGGGCAGTAGAGGCTGTGGTCTTGCATAGCCTATAAGCCCAGTGCTATAGGAGTGGGGTGAGGGTAGAGACAGAGGATCAAAAGGCCTTGTTAGCTGCCAGCCTAGCTGAAAGATGTGCGCTCCATGTTCAGAGAGAGAATCCGCCTCAAAAGAGACAGGTGGAAAGTGATAGAAAACATGAGACATTTTCCTCTGGCTTCTCTGTGTGTGCATAAGCATGTACATCTGCACACGTATGTTTGTACACCTCTCTCTTACATATACTCACACACAGAGACACAGACACACAGAGATATAGACTCACAGACACAGACACACACACACACACACACAATGAAGATTTTAAAAAGAAGAATCCTGGGTCTGGGCATAGGAAAGATGGTTACCACAGAGATCCAAATAGGAATGATGCAGTCTGCATTCAAGGGAGGCACAAGACTGGGGGAATTCAAGACTGAGTTCTCAAGAGGCAGAGTAACATATTCTATGAACCACCTAGAGCGGAGAGAGCAGTGGCTTCATTTTCTCCAACTGAGCAATGAGAACAGCCTGGCTATGAACCCTTGCTGCCTATGCCCTCCCTCATGCCCCAGAGGGGCAACTCTACTTTCCCACATCTAGTGGTTATTTTTATGGGTAGATTTATTTTTACCCATTCTAGGCCTCAAACCTGCAGCTGGAAGAAACCAGGCACCAAGGAATTCTAGAAACACAGTCTACAAGCTCAAACTGTGGTTTTCTCCTCCTCATGATAAAGATGGAACTGAGGCTCCGTTCGGGAACTTTTCTCCTTTCCTTTCCCATGTCTTCCTCCACAACTGATATGGGCTCCTGAAGCTGATATTTTGGTAGGCTCTACCAAAGTTTAATGAGGTACCATCTATCTTCCAATGAAATGAGCTAAGGAGCTGAAAGGGACCAGAGGAATTGGGGCGGTGGGGTACAAGTGAGAGCAAATAGCACCTTCAGTCGCTCCTAAGTGCCTTGAGGGTAAGACCCAGGAAGAAAGGATTATTTAGGAAATAATTCTTGTATTATTTTTTTGAGGATGACTGTAAAATCTCCCTTCACCTTTGCAACTGGTAAGGCTAAAAAGGAGAGGCATCCACATAGACAAGGGTTTGTTTTGGATCTGTTTCCTACAATGGATGGTGGCAGGCAATCTCTTCTACAACGAACTCTTGAATTCTGAGCCTAGTTCCTTTACTTTTGCTTGTTTAACTTCCCTAGCTCAGAAGTAGAATATGGACAAGTGGTTGAGAAACAGTGGAATAGTTAAGATATGGTACCACATGCAGGTAGTACCAGCACTTGGGAAGGAAAGACAGGAATATCAGAAATTCAAGGCTAGTCTCAGCTACATAGTGAGTTTGAGGCCAGCCTGGAACACATAAGACCCTGTCTCAAAAAAAAAAAAAAAAAAAAAAAAAAAAAAAAAAAAACCAAACTAAATAAACAAAATAAATTAGTAAGATTAGGAAATATAAAGGAGAGAGAAAGGACCTGAGTGACAGGACACTGAGAAGAGCACTTGGTCTTATTCACCATGACTATTTCTTCTAAGACTCTGAATCCTGGAGCAGAAAGGGGCAGAAGCACAAGTGTGATGTGAGGTATGGAGTTGGCTTGGGGTTTTATTGTTTGAGACAGGGTCTTGTTTGTTTTGTAGCCCAGGTGCTCTCAAACTTATTGAAATCCTCCTGCCTCAGCCTCCTGATTGCCAGGATTATAGACATCTACCTGGCTAGGTGACAAGTTAGCATACTATCAAAGAGGCATTTTTGGACCCCTATTAATAGATTTGGGATGTTGCAGCAACCTTTTCCCCAGGATACAACTATAATCTGTGAAGTTATGTTAACCTGCCTTTCATAAGCATATGAATATGAGTGTATTTGCTGAGGTAGGCGTGGGAAAGTATCAGTCAATGGAGAAATGTTGTGTGAGCCTGCTAATGGTGCATGCCTGTACTTGAAAGCCATAAGGTTCCATGCAAAAGCTATGGGTGGCACTGTTGCACAATGCTGGTGGGTGTGTGGCACGGGGGTGTGATTAACAGTTTATAAGCTGTGTATAAGTGTATATGGATGTCTCATTGTGTACAATCTAGAATGGAAATGCGTGGCATAGTATGATACAGTAACAGAAAAGCGCATGAGCTTTGGAATGGGTCTGTCTAGCCTTCCAACCCTGGCTGTCATTGCCCAGATGTGTAACCTTGGTCAAGTCATTCAATCTTTAATTTCCTCAGTTAAAATTAAGACAATGATAAGTACCTTTTGAGACTGCCGTGGGGGGCTAGAAATCATATCATAGATGCAAAGGTTTGAGTGGACAGCCCACACAGGCAGGTACCGGTTCTTCGCCTATGGACATGCCGATAGTTAGGTACACAGGCAAGGTATGTGAAGGGTAAGAGCACGTATGCCTTTTCCAGTGAACTTCCAGTTCAGACGTCAGCAGGGCAGGTGGTGCAGATGTCCACAGTTCCCTTAGGTTTGGGGGTGTCCTGGGTCTAAGTGAGTATGAGGTTGAGAGGCTGGTAGGAGCTGCAGGAAGCCAAAAGGCTTGCAGTTGCTTCCTTTATTTCCCCTCCACGCAGCAACGGTTGAAGACCGCCGCCCACATCCACTCCTCACTTCCACCCACACAAAGCCCCGTTCTGACCCCCCTTCAACAAGTGAGAGCCAGCTTGAGCTGGAAGCAGCCCAAAGGGCAGAGGATTCCCCCGTAGCGTTCCCCATTCAGCCTTAAGACCTACCCAGGAGCCGCCAAGGCGCGGAGCACTAGGGCCACCTTAAGAGCTGAGCAAGGCTCTGGCCTCGCACCAAGCCCCGCCCCCTCCGGCTCCCGCCCCGCCCCTTTCTCCTCCGCTTCGCTTGGAAAGAGCTGGGGAGCCCCAGTCTGGCCGGAGTTGGCTGGAGCTGTTGCCATGACAAGCATTTTCTTCTGAAAGCTCTGCAGTTGAGACGGTCCGCAGCTGGGGGTGGGGAGGCGGGCACCAACTTCTTGGGGACCATCCCTGCGAAGACAGCGAGGTCAGACATCCGCCCAGCTCCGCGCACCCATTTTCTTCCTGGAAGTTCCATTCCCGTTGGAAGGGCCGGGGGAGGAGACCCTGCCCACTCCACGGCAGTAGCTGGAAAGGCGAGCGCAGAGCCGGCATCTCTAGCTTGATTTCACACTGGGGAGAGCAGTGGATGGTCACCCCACCCTACCCGGTCCATGGAAACCTGGAGGGAGAGTCCCCCTTGGAGACACCTGGATCTTTGCTAGAAAGAGAGGTAGGCTTGCAGAGAATGAATTGACTCGGGAATTTGCAAACTTTTCTTTCTTTGCTCTCGATGGCTTCTCAAAGTACCCATATTTCCTTTTCGTACAGCGTTCCATGCGACCGGGATCGGATGGGTGTGTGTGTGCGCGTGTGCATGAGTGCGTGAGTGTGTGTGTGTTTGTGTGTGTGCTTTTGTTGAACACTATATTTCTTCCTTCAGTTCTGAAGAATCACATAAACAAGTGATTTCTTTGTGTTTTCCTAGTTCTTGTCCTTCCTGGACCGCGAGATGTGGTAGGGAAATGGACTATCTTTTTCACACCCAAATTGAGCTCTAGGGGCTAGTATTTACACACACGCTCCCATCCGTTTCTGCTCTCCCCCTCCCCCTTGGCTTGGGAACGGGAGGCCGAATGGAAAACTGTTGCAAAAATATTTTCCGCGTCTGTTCCCTTTCTCAAAAGCCCCGAAGAGAGATGGGAAAAATAAAACCAAATAAATTTTCAGCAGGAAGGAGGGAAGGCCTTAGGGCCAAGGAGGGGACAACCCCAGGACACGGAGTGGAAGTAGGCTAGAAGTTGGAGGGGCACGGGAGTGCACACTTTAAATTTCATTGGCTTCGCACAGAAACCTCAGCAGTTTCTCTCTGCGGCTTACAAAACATCTTCAGACTTTGACGTCTATAATTAGCTGTGGAAAAAGCAGGGAGTTCCCTTGCACTGCTGTTGTTTGAGTGAGTGCAAGTGTCCAGAACCAACTGTATGAGTGTCTCTGAGGGCACCACCCCATGGATCTCTGCTCCCATAGGGGAGGAAAAAGAAGGGGAGAAGTTGAAAAGTTTTGGGTTCCCCCCCAAGTCCCAGACTGTGGGACTGGTTGGGTTGTGGCCTCTGGCATCCTTAGAGGGTCTCTGAGCAGATTGTTTAGGAGCTAGACTTTAAGGCTAGGGTTGTCCCCTCCTCCCAACACACACCCTCATGGTAGATGCGGCTGGCTGGCATCCTTCCCCGAGATGAGTACAGTCTCACATTCTGGTCACCTCACTGATGGTGCCCACTGCTCTTTACCAGCTGGGTGGGGAGAGCATGGGAGTGGCCCAACGAATCCTGGGAGCGGACAGGGCACTCCTTGGCCAGAGGCATCTCCTTCCTGGGCAGACTCCCCTACTCACAAAAACCTGCAGACACGATTTCGGCACCTGCTGGTCTGGTTGAGGGATGCCAGATGAAGAAATTGGTGGGCACTCAAATCGGTGCAATATGGGGAGGGGAAAGGAGAGGTGGAGAGGGAAGGAAAACAAATTCCCATTCTCCAGTGCCACCTCCTCCTCTGGATGAGGTCTCTGGCAAGGAGTCTTCAGATCCACCCTGTCCAGGCTTGATGCACTCACCCACCATCCACATGAGCTGCCCCCTGCTCCTGGCTCTTCCTATTTGGAGACCATTCTGTAACCCGGCAGCTCTGGGTCCTTCTTATCTCAAGGGAAGAGACCAGGGCCATTCCAGGCTGGGACTCACATGGAAAGGGGCCCAGGGGAAGGGCTCTGTGACTTGGGTGGGCTAAGTTTTTTGCTTTTAACTGTGAGAAAAAGCAACGCTGAGACCCTGGGAAAGAAACAGAAGGCTTGAAGGAGCACTTTAAAAGGGCCAGGGAAGCCACAAAAGCCAGTGCCAGCTTTCATTTAGAGTTGTTTGGTGATTGAGCAGACTGTACCCACAGGCCCCTCTCCCCTACCTGTATTCTGATCCCAAGGCAGAATTAATGCCCCTGCTCCCTAAGAAGGGGAGGAGGGACTCCTAGGGGCAGGTTTCTGGTTGACTTCGGGATGGCTGCTGCCTGAGGCGCCTGCTCAGCTCACACCAGGTTGCCTGCTGAGGTGGCCTTGAGTCTTGGGTCTTGGACAGTGGGGGGCGGACTCCGCTTTGTGCCACCCTCCAACTAAAAGACCTGCAGCTGAGAATACTGCAGCAGAATCTGGCCCCCTCCCCTCGGGCTGCCTCTGTGACCCGCCCTATTGTCAGCGTCTCAGCAGCGGGGCTCCACCCTCCAGCTCTGCCCTAGCTGAGCGCTCTGTGGAGAAAGGCTTAGAGCTGGGGAGCCAGGCTTCTTGCCTCTAGGGCCCTGCCGCGCCTCAGCCCCTTACCCTTACTGGCCCTGGATCCAAGGTCAAATCGCAGGAAGTCAGTTTGCCTCACCCCTCAGCACTTATGAGAAGGAAGAAGTAGTTTAATTTTTCTTTTCTTTTTTTTCTTTTTTTTTTTTTTTACATTTATTTAGTTGAGGGGACATGTGGAGGTCAGAGGACAACTTGCAGGAGGCACTACTTCTCTCCTTCTCCACCACATGGGTCCCAGGGATCGAACTCAGATCATCAGGCTTGGCAGCAAGCATCCTTACCCACTGAGCCATCTTGCCAGCCCCAGGTGGGAAGTTTAATGGAACCTGGGAATTTATTTCATAGGTGAGGAGCAGGAAGGGGCCCTTCTAGCTTGCCCTCTGGTCTTTAGCTTTTCTACTCACTGGGAAGCCTGCTCACCACAGAAAGGGTGGGAGGGAGTGACTGAGTCAGATTTGTCACATTGCTATGGTCTTTGATGTCAGAAAAGAATCAAAATGAGAGCACCAGGTGAGGGGGTAGGACAGAGCAGTTAAAATTTTCTCAAGGTGTGATGCTGGAAGAAGTATGGCCATGTGTGGTAATGAAGGTCACCCCAGAAGGATAGCAGAGAGCCTTACACACTACTCTCACCTCCTTCAAGGTCCCAAGAGGAAGGGAGACTGGGGCTGCTAGCACTGCCCCCTCTGCCACCTTTCAGCTCAAGTCACCACCTGAAACTTCTCTCAGTAGCCCCATGGCCCTTTGCACTTTATTCTGTGCCCTTGGCCTTGGGACCAGGACCCACATTAAGATCTACCAAACTGTGGGAATTGATGAGGAATATTTTCATTTTTGGTCCCCATACCCAAAGAAGCATGTTTGATGTCACCTTGCAGGTGAATGCCCCTGAGCCTGTCCTTCCCTGGAGGGACGTCTGGCAGGCCATCGGTGTTCTTTCTCCACAAGCAACCCCTCAGACAGGCTCCCAACCCAGCCTGTTGCTTGCTCCTGAGAAGACTGATTTCTGTCATTCCCCATTGCTATGAGGGAGATAGGGATGCAGAGGATAAAATGAGACAAGCCAGACCTCTAGGCCCAACTAACTGGGCTTTCCTGTGGAAAAAAGAGAATACATACATTGTTTTAAATTAACATATTAACAAATACCATGTGAAGATCTTTTTAAAAAATATTTTATTTATTATTTTTATTTTATGTGTATGACTGCATTGCCTGTATGTATGTATGTAAATGCACTCGTGTAGTGCGATGCCCGCAGAGGTCAGATGCCCGCAGAGGTCAGAAGGCGGCATCGGATCCCCTGGAACTGGAGTTACAAACAGTTGTTAGCAACCATGTGGGTGCTGGGACTCAAACCCGGGTCCTCTGTAAGAGCAGTCAATGCTCTTAACCAGCAGCCATCTCTCCAGCCCCATGTGAAGTTTTGATATATGTACATACTGTATCATGATCAAATCAAGCATGTCTCCCAAGCATTTATCATTTCTTTATGGTAAAAATGATTCAAACATGTTTTCTTGCAGCTCATTTGAAAAGCACAGCACATTATGGTTTTCTTCAGTCCTCTGCTGTGCAGTAAAACGTCAGCACACGCTTCTCTCTAACTGCAGCCCTGCAGGGCTGACCAACCAGTCTTCTGGCCTCCTCTCCAGCCTCTGGCAATCCCCATTCTACTCTCAACTTCTGTAAGATCAGCTTTTCTGTTTCACATGTGAGATCATTCAGTGCTTGTCTTGCTCTGCCTGGCTAGTTTCACTTAACATAAGGGCCTCCAGTTCCTTCTGTGTTGTTGCAAATGACAGGCTGTCGTTTTTATGGATGAACACTATTCTATAATGTACAGGTACCACATTTTCTTCACTCGTTCATCTTTGGTTGTTTCTATTTCTTGGCTATTTTAAATAGTACTGTAATAGACATAGCAGACACATGTCTCTTCTACATGCTGATTCTGCCTCCTCTGGGTATATACCCAGTAGTGGGACTGCTGGGTCAGATGGTAGTTCTATTTTTAATTCTTTGTGTTTGTGTGTGTAGTGCTGGGAGTTGAACCTAGGGCCCCTTGGATGCTGGGCAAGTGTTCAATCACAAAGCTACACTCCAGCCCTATTTTTACTGTTTTGAGGAACCTGCATGCTATTTTCCATAACTATATCATTTTCCCTTTTCTGTAGGTCATAGAAATGAGTGTGCCCTGGGGCTAGAGTCCAAAAGAGCTGTGGAATATTTTTCACTCTGCTTCCTCTCCCGGCATCCTTTGTCTCCTCTTTCCTCTTTTCTTGTATGAGCCGTTCTTGTTCCACTGACTTATTTCCTTTGCACACGTTCAGACAGAAATGACAGGGACTTTTTTCTTCCTCTCCCTTAAGCCAGTTCGGCCCACATAAACTTGGGTTTAGGAGGGAAACCAGGAAGGACCTAGAGCCAAAGCCAAGGGCACCTGCCTGATCAGCAAGGGAGCTGTGGGTTGTGGAGCAGGGGAGAGAGAGGCGAGGAGAAAGGAGGGAAAGGGAGGTGAGCACACAGGCACCAAGTGGGTTCCCCGCCCCCCTTCTATCGCTGCTCTTTCATTCCCATCTCTGGAGTGCCAGGCTCATCCCTTTTCTCCTCGTTTCCCAAGTTTCATACACAAATCACTGCAACCGTTTGGAGAAGATGAGCTGGAAGGACATCAGTGAGCCCTCCTCCTACCTTCTAGTCATCCCTTAGGATGAGAGTATGCTCACTGCTAGAGAGGTCCAGGACTCTCAGCTGGGGTCAGAGAAACTCAGCTTAGGCACCCACTATGAGGTCCAACTAGTTTGCAGAACCAGTACCAGATGTGCAAAGTAGTACAACTTCTATGGAGGGGAAAACAGTCTACATGATACATTTGCCCAGCAACTCTGCAT